TTTAGAATAAGCACGCAGGCATGTTAGGGAATGAGCACACAGTTAGGCATGTTTTAGAATGAGCATGCAGGCATGTTAGGGAATGAGCACAGTCAGACATGTTTGGGAATGAGCACACAGTCAGACATGTTTTAGAATGAGCACACAGTCAGACATGTTTTAGAATGAACACACAGTCAGACATGTTTTAGAATGAACACACAGTCAGGCATGTTTTAGAATGAGCACACAGTCAGGCATGTTTTAGAATGAACACACAGTCAGACATGTTTTAGAATGAGCACACAGTCAGACATGTTTTAGAATGAGCACACAGTCAGACATGTTTTAGAATGAGCACACAGTCAGACATGTTTTAGAATGAGCACACAGTCAGGCATGTTTTAGAATGAACACACAGTCAGACATGTTTTAGAATGAACACACAGTCAGACATGTTTTAGAATGAGCACACAGTCAGACATGTTTTAGAATGAACACACAGTCAGACATGTTTTAGAATGAACACACAGTCAGACATGTTTTAGAATGAGCACACAGTCAGACATGTTTTAGAATGAGCACACAGTCAGACATGTTTTAGAATGAGCACACAGTCAGGCATGTTTTAGAATGAACACACAGTCAGACATGTTTTAGAATAAACACACAGTCAGACATGTTTTAGAATGAGCACACAGTCAGACATGTTTTAGAATGAGCACACAGTCAGACATGTTTTAGAATGAGCACACAGTCAGACATGTTTTAGAATGAGCACACAGTCAGACATGTTTTAGAATGAGCACATAGTCAGACATGTTTTAGAATGAGCACACAGTCAGGCATGTTTTAGAATGAGCACACAGTCAGACATGTTTTAGAATGAACACACAGTCAGACATGTTTTAGAATGAGCACACAGTCAGACATGTTTTAGAATGAGCACACAGTCAGACATGTTTTAGAATGAGCACGCAGGCATGTTAGGGAATGAACACACAGTCAGACATGTTTTAGAATGAGCACGCAGGCATGTTAGGGAATGAACACACAGTCAGACATGTTTTAGAATGAGCACGCAGGCATGTTAGGGAATGAACACACAGTCAGACATGTTTTAGAATGAGCACGCAGGCATGTTAGGGAATGAGCACACAGACATGTTTTAGAATGAGCAGGCAGGCATGTTAGGGAATGAGCACACAGTCAGGCATGTTTTAGAATGAGCACACAGTCAGGCATGTTTTAGAATGAGCACACAGTCAGACATGTTTTAGAATGAGCACACAGTCAGGCATGTTTTAGAATGAGCACACAGTCAGGCATGTTTTAGAATGAGCACACAGTCAGACATGTTTTAGAATGAGCACACAGTCAGGCATGTTTTAGAATGAGCACACAGTCAGGCATGTTTTAGAATGAGCACACAGTCAGACATGTTTTAGAATGAGCACACAGTCAGGCATGTTTTAGAATGAGCACACAGTCAGGCATGTTTTAGAATGAGCACACAGTCAGGCATGTTTTAGAATGAGCACACAGTCAGGCATGTTTTAGAATGAGCACACAGTCAGGCATGTTTTAGAATGAGCACACAGTCAGGCATGTTTTAGAATGAGCACACAGTCAGGCATGTTTTAGAATGAGCACACAGTCAGGCATGTTTTAGAATGAGCACACAGTCAGGCATGTTTTAGAATGAGCACACAGTCAGGCATGTTTTAGAATGAGCACACAGTCAGGCATGTTTTAGAATGAGCACACAGTCAGGCATGTTTTAGAATGAGCACACAGTCAGGCATGTTTTAGAATGAGCACACATTCAGGCATGTTTTAGAATGAGCACACAGTCAGGCATGTTTTAGAATGAGCACACAGTCAGGCATGTTTTAGAATGAGCACACAGTCAGGCATGTTTTAGAATGAGCACACAGTCAGGCATGTTTTAGAATGAGCACACAGTCAGGCATGTTTTAGAATGAGCACACAGTCAGGCATGTTAGGGAATGAGCACACATTCAGACATGTTTTAGAATGAGCACGCAGGCATGTTAGGGAATGAGCACACAGACATGTTTTAGAATGAGCAGGCAGGCATGTTAGGGAATGAGCACACAGTCAGGCATGTTAGGGAATGAGCACACGGTCAGGCATGTTAGGGAATGAGCACACAGTCAGGCATGTTTGGGAATGAGCACAGTCAGGCATGTTTGGAAATGAGCACACAGTCAGGCATGTTTTGGAATGAGCACACAGTCAGGCATGTCTGGGAATGAGCAAACAGTCAGGCATGTTTGGGAATGAGCACACAGTCAGACATGTTTTAGAATGAGCACGCAGGCATGTTAGGGAATGAGCACACAGTCAGGCATGTTTGGGAATGAGCACACAGTCAGGCATGTTAGGGAATGAGCACACAGACATGTTTTAGAATGAGCAGGCAGGCATGTTAGGGAATGAGCACACAGTCAGACATGTTTTAGAATAAGCACGCAGGCATGTTAGGGAATGAGCACACAGTTAGGCATGTTTTAGAATGAGCATGCAGGCATGTTAGGGAATGAGCACAGTCAGACATGTTTGGGAATGAGCACACAGTCAGACATGTTTCAGAATGAGCACGCAGGCATGTTAGGGAATGAGCACACAGTCTGACATGTTTTAGAATGAGCACACAGGCATGTTAGGGAATGAGCACACAGTCAGGCATGTTAGGGAATGTGCACACAGTCAGACATGTTTTAGAATGAGCATGCAGGCATGTTAGGGAATGAGCACACAGTCAGGCATGTTTGGGAATGAGCACACAGTCAGACATGTTTTAGAATGAGCACGCAGGCATGTTAGGGAATGAGCACACAGTCAGGCATGTTAGGGAATGAGCACACAGTCAGGCATGTTTGGGGATGAGCACACAGTCAGGCATGTTTTGGGAATGAGCACAGTCAGGCATGTTTGGAAATGAGCACACAGTCAGGCATGTTTTGGAATGAGCACACAGTCAGGCATGTTTGGGAATGAGCAAACAGTCAGGCATGTTTGGGAATGAGCACACAGTCAGGCATGTTTGGGAATGAGTAACACAGTCAGGCATGTTTGGGAATGAGTAACACAGTCAGGCATGTTTGGGAATGAGCAAACAGTCAGGCATGTTTGGGAATGAGCAAACAGTCAGGCATGTTTGGGAATGAGCAACACAGTCAGGCATGTTTGGGAATGAGCACGCAGGCATGTTTGGGAATGAGCAAACAGTCAGGCATGTTTGGGAATGAGCACACAGTCAGGCATGTTTGGGAATGAGCACACAGTCGGGCATGTTTGGGAATGAGCACACTAATCTCTTAGACACACAGCTGTTGACTGTGTTGCTCATTCCCAAACATGCCTGACTGTGTGCTCATTACCAAACATGCCTGACTGTGTGCTCATTCCCAAATATGCCTGACTGTGTGCTCATTACCAAACATGCCTGCATGCTCATTCTAAAACATGTCTGACTGTGTGCTCATTCAGAAACTTGCCTGCATGCCTGCTAACACCAATGGTGTTATTGTTGGTGTAAAATAAAAGGTTCAATTCCCATGGTGAGTTGTTTAGAAAAAGACTGTTTTCCTGGTTTTCAGATAGGTCATATGAGAATTGTACCACGTAATAGACTTGGGTCTCTCAACACGTAATAGATTTGGGTCTCTCAACATGGAAGAGATTTGGGTCTCTCAACATGGAAGAGATTTGGGTCTCTCAACATGGAAGAGATTTGGGTCTCTCAACATCGAATAGATTTGGGTCTCTCAACACGTAATAGATTTGGGTCTCTCAACACGTAATAGATTTGGGTCTCTCAACACGTAATAGATTTGGGTCTCTCAACACGTAATAGATTTGGGTCTCTCAACACGTAATAGATTTGGGTATCTCAACATGGAAGAGATTTGGGTCTCTCAACACGTAATAGATTTGGGTCTCTCAACACGTAATAGATTTGGGTCTCTCAACACGTAATAGATTTGGGTCTCTCAACACGTAATAGATTTGGGTCTCTCAACATGTAATAGATTTGGGTCTCTCAACATGTAATAGATTTGGGTCTCTCAACATGTAATAGATTTGGGTCTCTCAACACGTAATAGATTTGGGTCTCTCAACACGTAATAGATTTGGGTCTCTCAACACGTAATAGATTTGGGTCTCTCAACACGTAATAGATTTGGGTCTCTCAACATGTAATATTCCCATAGTTAGCAGTCAATACACTGCAGCCAGGATTTCACTGCCTGAGCTACTTAGTGTAGTGCTTGGTGCAGCCCTGTGAGCTGAGTTTTTACTGTGAAATGCCTTTCATTTGTGCAGTGGTATTCAGTATGCATGTGTATAGTAGCCAACCTATCATACCCGACTACGTACATCAATAACAAACTGCTTTTCTGGTGGCGACTGTTGGCTCCGGCGCCTCTAGCAACTGAAATTTACATTTACTGCATGCAAATATTTCTGGACTGTTCCGAGACTAACTGTTTGTTCAGCAGTTGTTTTTTTTTTCTTTTCACATTTGACAGTGGTGGACATTTAATTTTGACCGTGCTGGCACAGGAACAGAGCAAGTATGGGAAACCCAATGCAGTGAAGTTGATGCACTGACTAAGACTCAGATACTGCAGCCAACTTCCAAAGTGAAGATTTATGTTTTACAATAGCATATAAAGAAAAAAGGGTGCTTTCTTAATATCCTACCCCAAATAGGGGAAATCCACAGGTCACGGGACAGTCTAATATTTCAGGGGGTGGTAGATAGGTTGCATGCAGTCGTGGGACCTAGGCTGCATGCAGTCTTGGGATCTAGGTTACACTCTCTTGTGGGATGTAGGTGGGTTAGGGCCAGTTCTAGATGTTTTGGGGTCGTTAACAGTATCAGAAGCCGGGAAACCCAGTCTTATCATCCTCTAAAATGTTAGACTGTCCTGTGAAGTCATCTAGGGTAGGGTATTACGAAAGAACCAAAAATAGTATATGATCCTTACTGTGAAGAAAAAATTGGAAGATGTAGTGCTGGCTGTTGCTTCTAAAGTACTGGAACACAGGTGCATTGATTTGGTAAACTGGGTCCACATCACTGCATTGAAGAGTAAGATTCCGACCGCAGAAATAACCCGGGTGACAAGTACAAGCTGTAGAAAGACAGAGAAATTTTTTTTTTCTGTGTGGATGTAAATTCTGGATAATTATATGTAATTCATCATCATCATGTATCAGGTCCTTAGCAGAACGTCACTCTCATCACAGTCTGCCTGAAAGAAACTCGGTCTTTCGCCAGTTCTCCCGCCTCATGTACTTTCACACTCAAGGAGTCACTTATATCCTGTGCCCATCTTCGTGTCGGTCGGCTCCTGCCCCTCCTTCCTGGTACCATGCCTTCTGCTAATCCCCCATGGTGCTTGATATGACCAAAATATTTCAGCTTCCGAGACAGGATGCTGTTTATTAGCCAATCTCCTTGATGTTCAAATCTTCCAAGATGTCAGTATTTCTCTTCTTTTTCCAAGATATTCTCAGAATCTTTCTATAGCATTTCAGCTCAAAAGCCACTATTCTCTTTCTTAAGGACTGAGAGATAGTCCACGACTCACATCCGTATGTAGCCACAGGGAAGATGCATGCTCTCAACATTCTGATTTTGATCTTCTTGCTGGTGCTCAACCATAGACTTTTAAGGCTGTTTAATCTTTGCATTGCTATATGTAATTACATCAAGCAATATCTAACAGCATGTATCAATTCATGCACTGAGTACTTGCCTTACAAAAAGAAAAGACCTGATAAAAATCATTTCTCCCTGTCTTTCTCTAACCCTCTAAGAATAACTCAGATTAAGAGGGGGAGGGGAGGGGGAAATACTGACATCCTACAGGAAATGCAATCTTGCAATACTAACTGTATTAATCTTCTAATCAGAATAGAATTAAAATTTCAAAACCTCTATAAGGCTGGGGGGGGGGGGGGGGGGGGGGGGGGAAAAGTCACAAGTTTGTATGAAATCAAGATTATCTTGGAAATAAAATAGATGGGTGTCAACTACACCATACATCTCAAATACAACCTTCAAAACCAGTTAGCTGGTTTACCTTAGAATGCAAGTACCCGCTGTCCTTTGAAATAAATTTGATAACGGTATGTAGTGTACACTGTTCAAAAAGCAATGGCAAACTACTGATCGTAAAATGCCAAGCAAAACTTCACACAGCCAAAAAATGCAGGGGTTCATATGCAAACTTCCCGTAAAGAATATGCAACTAACTAACCGTCAAGGAATCACAGCCATGTCAAAAACTGATATTACGTTTCATGCAAGAATTCTTTCTCTAACTTCCAATGATTGGGGTTTAATTCACAAGATGTTTGTCTTATGCAATGCAGTTTTCCCTTATCCTAGCGTGCTCTGTATTTCTGTGATGCATCTTCATGATGATGTTTATTTTATACTGGTAAAAATTATCATCATCAAGTGCCTTGTCGACTGGCGTGGATGATCATGCCTCTCCATAATCTGTGATCTTCAATAGCATATATCAGTGGTCACAACCTGTTCCAGTTTCCCTCTTCTTATAAAAATTATTCCTCCCTTCCCTTCTCACCCCCCCCCCCAACCCCTCAATGATGTCTCTTCCTAATGTCTGTGATAAACTGTCTTCAAGCTCTCACCTCTTTCAAAGTATCTGGGCTGCTTTTTTTTTTCCATCTCTGGATTCTAACATTTCTGAGGTCTCAACAAACTGTCTTGTACAAATATATTACCAAATGTTTATTTACTGATAATTAACTAACAATTCAATTTTTCGTTATTCAAAGCCCCACCATGGCTTTTGCCGGGGGCCCTGAATATAGCAAAGCCATTTTTTTTTTTTAGTATTCAGAAGCCATGATTTGTTAACCCTTAGGCTTGGTATTATGGATATCGCAACCCTTAGGCCTTGATTCCATTGTAAATACCGTAAATCTGGGAGAAAATGTGGCTTTTCTGCCTACCCCGGGGCGTGAACCCGGACCACAAGAGTTCGTCACCCGGTCACCGCGTAGTCCGGTTTAGCCAACTACGCTAGCAAGCCGGGCAGCAGGGCCATAAATATGGCCTAGCGGCTGAAAGGGGTTTCTGGGACCTCTCCACGGGTTATCCTCATCCGCATGGTGACACTTTGAATCACTGGGTGTCCATCGCTTGTGTGATGTCCTGGTAGGGTACAACAAGAGTGAGAGAAAGGCAGTAGAATAAGTATGATCTTTTTTAATGTGAAACACTTGTGACATTTCAAAATTGCATTACGGTCATCTGCGCCTCCAATGCTAACCCCCCCCCCCCCCCCGGACTCAAAGAGTTAATCGTCTGAGCCCTAATCTCGGGAGTGGTTGTTTTTTTTTTTTTTTTAACAAAAGTATAAAAACTAGAATCTCACCTGGTCTGTTGTGGTCAAGGAAACCCCGACACTGCCACTAACCCAAAGCGACAGACTTTCTACCAGTGTGGTCGTCACCGAAGGAGTCAGCGCAAGCTTGGCGCAGATCGACGCCAACGCGGCACAGCTTCCAGCCTGCACTGCACAGATAGAACCTCGCATACCCATTGTTCAACTAAGATTACTTAAGGCTGCTCTCGATTAAAAAAAATAATTGTAGCTCACAACATTCTTTCTTGTTCCAAACTTGTGTTACTGGTCGGTCATTTTAGTGTCGTCTGCAGCTAATTCTTAGTTATCCCCCTTTTAGGACTTGTAAGTACAAAGTAAAACATCAAACAACATCATCATCATCATTTTCGTCTTCTTCCTCATCATATAGCAGGTATTATTTATTTTCAGAAAGCCGCCCCTATCACAGCCAGCCGCTAAGAATCTTCTTTCATTACCAAATCTTCTTTCTTCATGTATTGTCATGACCAGCCAGGGTGTCTTCCGAGTGCTAACAAACTGCAATGGCTGGGGCATCTCCGGAGAATGGCAGATAACATGGCTCTCCTTTGAATCAACCCCCAAAATGGCGGCATGCCACATTCTGGCCATAAAATATCCGAACGACGGTGTTCGCGTATATCTAAAATACGGACTTTCTGCCAAGGAACAAATCGCGGCAAAACTAGGATTACTTGACAATATGAACATTGCACACGGTAGTAGTAGCAGACGATAAATACCGACAGTTTCTGCAGACGATAGTAGCAGACGATAATTTTGAGCGTTTCTGCAGATGATACTAGCAGACGATACAAATGCTCTGACTGGGTCTCGGCGATACGTGACTTGCTGACCTGCTTCTGCGAGTGTACCTCACCGCCGAGCGTATTCCCCCGCGCCGCTACGCGGAAGGGGACTAAACTAGGTGCCTGGGACTCACGAGTACAATAATTGGAGGAAGTTGCAGGAGATGCAGTAGCTGCCGCTCGTGAGTCCCAGCCATCTAGTTTAGTCCCCATCCGCGCCGCTGGATACGCACGGGGGATACGCTTGGCGGTGAGGCACACTCGCAGAAGCAGGTCGGCAAGTAACATATCGCCCTGTCAGAGCATTTGTTTCGTTATCCGGAGCCGACAAATATATTTTTAATAGAACTGACCCGCATTCGGATATTTTTGGATATTTTATGGCAAGAAATTGGCCAATTTAGCTCTCTTTCGAATGCCATCATATTAAAGCCGCCATTTTGGGGGTTGATTCAAAGGAGAGCCGATAACATTAATTAACAGACAAAACCTGCTTGCACAAAAGAGTTGAATGGGGGTAGACCACGAAAATAGGATATAATAAATTAACACTTGGAATCCTCATGTAAATCAAGGAGCCCTTTCCACACCTTCAGACATACTGGGCACATAGGGCTAGACCTATATCTTATAGACCAAGTGGCGTGTGATGTGGTAAGCATCACACCGACCGCCTTTACTTCGCAGGACTCCACTTGGCACCCATTAAAGGCTGGGTCAACCTGGGAGTCAAGGTCATTTTTGAAAAAAAGTTTGGTTCTGTCAGGACTCGAACCTACGACCTTCTGATCCGCAGGTGAGCGTTTAGCCGCTACAACACAGGAGCTCCTTTCTGTCTCATGTACTTTTTATGATTGCCATTTCAAACTGTCCAACATCTTCTTTCTTGGCCTCCAATTTTCTCCCTCTGATCACATGACCACAGAATGTAGATCCTCTTTCTGATGTGGACAATCAGTTCTCTCCGTGAGTTAGTTTTATGTGCCCAGAGTATTCTCATCATCATATATAAATTTACATCTTGGCACTTCCAAAATTTTTTTCACATATCATCCAATTGTTCATGATCCACTTCTATATATCAGAATAGGATTTATATACAGATGTAGTTCTTGAGAATTCTCTTTCCCCTCTTTCTTTTTTTTTTAAATTTTTTTTTTTATTATTCATCAGCTGTAAGCTCCAGTGGAAAGTTTTGGGTGTTCATCCATTTGGACTGTGGCTTTTGTGCCATGGCCTGAGTTTTGCATGTACATTTGTTTTACTGGCTTATTTGGGTGCAGCTGGTTGTTCCTTGCCTCTCCGGCAGGCTCACTCCGACTTGGTTGAGTCTTACAACATGCTTGTTGGAGAGGCAGTGGGTCTATTCTGGTTGTTCCTTGCCACTCAGGCAGACTCACTCCGACTTTGAGGGAAGCACCCACTTGGTTGACTCCTAAGACATGCTTGTTAGAGAGGCAGTGGGTCTATTCTGGTTGTCCCAAAATGGTGTCTAGGAACCCAAACGGGGGTGTCCCAACTGACAAAGGAAGATTGATGTAATTGCCTTAGCATCAAGGGTTGATTCTAATAGGTCATCACTCTCCGTCTCTCACTGATTGTACACGCAGTGTTCATCTTTTCATGTTTGCCTACCTTCAACTTTTCTCCCCAGTTTGGAGTTAAAGTGTTATATCTTTCTTATGGCTGAAATAATAAACGCGCCTGTTTTTTTTTTTCCCCAACAACTCCGCCTCTACCAGCATCTTCAAATTTCTGTGTTCGTCCGCCTCCCCCCTTATTGCAAGCACCCACTGGCTGTAAAAACTGGTCGTTCATCCACTTCTGGACTTAGTCTTGTTTCAGAACTTGAGTTTTGTGTGCACATCCATGTTACAGATCTGGCTTACTTGTAGGCAGACTGTTGGTTCATTGCCTCTTGAGCAAATGAATTCTAACTTTTGCAGCCCCTAATTAGTTGCTTTTTTGTGTGTGCATCATACTTGCTTGTTGGAGTGGGTGGGTGGGGGGGGAGGGGGTCCTATTCCTTTTTTCATGCCACATCAATTATATGTACAGGTCACATTGTTAAAACATAACTTTAACATGACAAAAAAAAAATATTCAACAATGACCATGTTTCATCTAGACTTTATTCTTTTGTTGTCTAACTTTCATCCCAAGTAGAAATGAAAATACAATCTGTCATTACTTCATAAAAGAATTCATCACAATCTATCCAATAAGTTTCTACGTCAGCTCATAATCTTCATACAGGCCACACTGTAAATCAGATGCACAATCAATTCAAAATTAAACTTATAAATGGGCCCTCCTGGCATAGTGAGAGATCAAGGCAACAATGTTTGGTCAACAATGGCACAACAACAACAAAACAGGCAAGTATTGTACATTTGTTTCCGAGAAAACATTAGCTGGAACTTTTGATGAATGTTAAAAAACATGTAATGTACATTTATGTTGGTTTAAGGACAAACCATAGAACAAAAACAAAGAGATGACCACAAATGTGTGTCAGATTTATCTTCATGTAAAACAATAAATGTTACAGAGCCAATATGATGTGAACAGTTCTTAGGTCAAATACCATCACAAGCACTACATCTAAGAAGATCAGCTACAAGAGCAAGAGGACGGCAGTGGAAAACATGGATTGACAACATTAAAGGCACTCTACGCCTTCACGGCATGACAATAGCCAGTGGCAGCCAACGTGCACTGGATCGCAAATTATTCCTCCTCACGACGCTAAACGGCAGAAGTGGTTTATGATAATGATGAGTTCTTGGGTATATTGTTTGAATTTGCTGTGTGTGGCTCAGACACAAAGGGTGTGTGTGTGTGTGTGCCATACACATTACGAGGAGATTAAACACTAGTGGGCACACCCAGAGAAGAGAACTGCAGCTTTGTAACAGACAATGAAGTTAAAAGAAAGATTCCTCTGATGAACCTGTTAACAATCACATATCTAAACCCACATAGGAAACACTGACTTATCTAGTCCTAATTTGTCAGCTGGTATATCTCCTCCTTCGTGCGTATTTTACCGCTTCAGGTGTTCAGGGAGATACAAGGTTCTCCTTCTTGCTCTCTGGTCACCTCAACCACAGACACACTGTGTTTTTGTAGAGTTTCTCTTATGTTATCTTTTCATATTTTTCTTGGCCTGCCTCAGGATTTACATCCCTTCTCTCTTTGATATATGCACTGTAGGGAAAGGCATCACAAGGCATCCTCTTTAAGTAGGCAAATCATTTTATTTGCTGGCTTTGTATTAATTCAGTATGCTGCTTTTGTGTTATCGGTTAATTTGCTAATTGAAACTTTTTTGTCTTTTCATTCCTGATTTTATCTCTTCTCGGAACTTCTGCAGCCCTTCTCTGTCATCTCATTTCAGCCTTTATATGCAGGGATACACAATAACCAAGACTTGGAAACATCCTACCATACGTCTTCGCAGATGTAAATTTTTAGCACTGGCCTTGCACACCCTGCTGGAATGTGAGTTTGTAGAGGAGAGGGACAGCACCGCAACACAGTTCCTGGGGAGATGATATTTTGGTACTGGTTCAGGAGAAAATTCTTTACATGTACATCCCTTCTGATAAATACTAGACTTTTGTTGTTGTTGTTGTATGAGGTGACCTGAACTGGCTGGAATAGAACCAGTGCTAAAGTATATTAACAGACAACAGATCAACTGGTTTCAAAATGTGTCAAGGCAATCACAAGAAAGTGAACCCTGAAGAGATCCCTGTCATTAATATACAATGGAAGCAAAGTTAGAGGTCACCCGCTTAAGCGATGGATAGACGGAATATCTAAAGCCACGAATACCAGCATTTGTTTAGCAAAAGACAAGGCTCGAACCAGATGCCTCTTGAAAACCCGATGCTGAAAGGCAGTACAGGATCTAGAGAAATGAAGGTTGTGGAAAGTCTGGTGCTATGGCTTGCAAAGAAAATATCAGTCGATAAACAGTGCGAAGAGCTGCAGCCGTGTAGGATTAGACCACATGGTGATAATGTTTATAAAAAAACAATAAACAAAAGAAACAAAAAATGAAAATAACATCTAGCCACAAGATTCATGAGAGATAGGTTAGTGCAGTGGCTCGGGTACTTGTCTTGTAGTGATGTGTTGAATTCTTACTTTAAGATTTTTTTTTTAATTTTTTTATTTATTAACTGTGTAGATTGTCAGGTCCACCAAGCAACAACAACAACAAAAACCCACAAACACACAAAATTCAGAAAATGTACTAGGAAAATCAAGTTGGTCAGCATAATATTAGTTACAGCGCCCGTTGAAGGCTGACTGAGCCATACAAATATCGCCTCAGCAACAGAGATATCCAGAGCACCT